GCTGAAGTATGGGAAAGAGGGTGAGGCCTGAACAGAGACAGCAACCGTAGGCAAGGAGAGGGTCTTTCTCTCTCTAGTTGCTGCAAACAGAGTCCTGATACTCCAAAAGAAAAAAGCATTAAGGACCAATGAGGTGGCTCTGGTTAAATGATTCTTGCTACCTTGCCTGAAGACCTACTTTGATCTCCAGAACCTATAGGCTAGGAGAGAACCAGCTTCTGCAACTACACCTCCCATACATAAACTAAAAAAAAAAGTTAAATCACATTTCTAATGTGTCCTCTGAAGGTGATTTGAAAGTTACCTTAAGAGGAATAACAAAACCTAGCCATAATATAATACCCAAAAGGTATTGTTAATGTTTTATAGACTTCCTTTATAGTCTAAGTGGGTTAATCCTCCCTCCTCATATCTCTTCATCCAAAAGAGGAGGAAAAACCATCATGTACCTTCCAAATAGATGGCTCATGCCCTATGTTTTATAATAAGAACATTATCCCATGTTAAAAAAAATAGGATTTTTAATGACAACTTTATTTATTTTGAGGGGGTATCTTTTGAGCAAGATCTCAGCCCAAGGTGACCCAGTGCTCAACATGTAGCCCAGGCTGGCCTCAAACTTTTGATCAATTTGCCTTGTCTTCCTGCTGGGATTATAGGTGTATACCACTTCTTCCAGCTGTGAAAATGTACTGTTTTGTCCAGATGTCTTTCAGTCTCCTATTGTCCTAAACAGAAGGAGCACATTCTCATATTTCTATGATTCCAGGTCCTGACATTTCTCCTTCTGTTTGCCAGCTCACACACCTGGAGAACTGCCGCCCCTAGTCCCAGTCAAGAACAAGGAACAAAGAAGCAGAAGTAGTTATTTGACAGGAGGGCAGGGAAGCATGAGGGCAAAGGGATGCTGAAGGCCACCATATGGACTTCAGGCCCATATGCGAGAGACAGCTACTCATGGTCGAACTAGAAAGAAAGAGCCCACAGAGAATGAATGAGACATGAAAGGTTCAAGGTGGTGAGATTGGCTTTGGGGGGGGAAGGAAGAGGAAGCCTCTCTTCAGGGCCTTGAGGAAGAAAGCAAGGGCATGGGCAGGTGTACACCTGTGGCATCCTCCAAGGGTGACTGTCTGAGGCATGGAGAGTAGCACATCCTCTATAGTAGGAGTTCCTAGTAGCTGACTTCCTTTCTCCCTACAGAAGAGTGGGAATTATCTGCTAAGGGTAAAAGGAAGGAAAGGATTTTCATTGAGGGGGAATAAGGATTTTGAACTTTAAGCAGAGAAGTGGTCTAGAATAGCTTGTGTGTGAAATATATCCAAGAAGAAAAAGGAGTAGGAGGGCATGAATTGGAACAAGAATGACTTTGCCAGGCAGGGAAGTAGAAGTTTACAGATAGCATTCTGTAACCCAACATGGAAGGTACTGGAAGATCCTAGGGAAGGAATGGGGGAATAAGAAGCCCAGAGTATAAGACTATAGACAGAGGGGCATTGTGACCCTAGATTAAGGTATAGTGACCTGAGCTCCTGAGCAGGAGTGCAGTGTTCCTCATGCAGGGTGCTGGAGTGGACTGAGGAGGTGGCTCTGGATGTGAAGTTAGACTTGGGGTGCGAAGTCAGAGCTCCCAGAAGGGAGATGTGCAGAAGAACAGAGATACAGTGCCCAGCTCCCTGCCCAGCCCATCAGCCTGCCCTTGTGTTTCTCAGGTTCTGGTGCAGGGCTGCCTTTTGGACCCTTCCCAGCGGGAGGCCTTCCTGCAGCAGGTGTATGAGCAGCTCTGCCTCTTTGAGGATAAGGTAGCCACCATGCTGCAGCAGCAGTATGAGCCCCAGAGCCAGGTAAGTAGGAAAGAACTGAGGGCAAGGAGGAGCCGAAAGCCCAGTAGAGGGGAGAGAGCAGAAAGGGGCTACGAGCAGAGTGAGCCAGGGCTAGAGCACTAGTGACAGTCAAGACCGGCTCCTTGCTGAAGAAAGGCAGCTCAGGTATAATGCCCACACCACATGCTGGGAGAAAGGTTGAAGGCCATTTGCCTGTGGAGTTTTGTTTGTTTGCCTTTTCTTTTCTTTTCTCTCCAGTCCTGGATCTGGACGTGATCATGGGCAGCTTTGATCTCTCTTAGCATTTTACACAATCAGAGTAAAGCTGTTAGGCTTTTTGGAGTGCTCTGCCTCATTACTTTGGAGAGTAGAAGTGGCTGTGCAAATAGCATCCGATGACTGCGTGTATTTGGCTAGTTGTGAAATACTTGAGAACAGTGATGGGGAAATATGGAAGGGGGCCTTTCTTGGTGGAAGGTGGAGAGACTGCCTCAGTAGAGTGTGACATTTGATCGGGTGCTTTGCTTCCTTCCCGTCTGAGGTTCTACATTTTAGCATATGCCGGGCATGAGGACACAGCAGAGCTTAGCTGAAGAGTCTAGAACTTGGGGTACCTAGGATTATACCTGTCTCACATGGGCAGTACTGGACTCTGAGTTCCAGTTTGAGGGCTGGGTGTAAACTCAATGGTAGATCATATGCCTGGCACGTGTGAAGCCCCAGGTACAGTCTCCTGCACCAAACCAGAGAGACAGAGAGGGAAATGGAATTTTGCTGTAGGTGGGGCAACAGTGCCATCTCTCCCATTCCTTTTCTGTACTTTTGGGCCAGGCAGACGACCAGTCCCCAGAATCAGGGGAGTCCTTGGGCCGGAAGGTAGGAGTCTCCATGGTGACAGCTGATCTTGGGCTGGTCAGTATGATTCGTCAGGGCATCTTGGCGCTGCAGTTACTGCCCTCAAATTCTAGTGCAGGTCAGTAGAAGATATATTGGTGTAAGTGGGAAATGGGTTCAGAAAGGGTAGAGGGTTGTTGACAAAGATTGAGGTTCCCCAGAACTAATGAGCCCCGGACTTTTGTTTCCTTGTTTGCAAACTGCGAGTCCTTACTAATGTGTATTCCCAGTGCCCTCAGCACTACTAGAGACCATCCAGGGGAAGGAGACCATCCAGGACACCTGTGGTGTAGGAGCACCTAAGGGGGGGGGGCAGGAGGAAAGGTCAAGAATGAAGGTGCTGGGAGTTTGTAAGCTGTGCTGGTGGTGGGCACTGAGGTCTTCAGGGCACTGGCAGTTGGGCCTCCCTTCGACTGGGGTAGCCATTGTCTCTAGGGCTGTGTTATTTCCTGTCTCAGGTATCATCGTGATCACAGACGGAGTCACCAGTGTTCCTGATGTTGCTGTGTGCGAGACGCTACTGAACCAGCTCCGCAGTGGCACTGTGGCTTGTTCCTTTGTGCAGGTGAGGACTTTCTAGGAAGGAGGAGTGGGAAACAGGGTATCTCTCAAAGTCAGGAATGGCTGATTACTTTTTTACAGGCGAGATTACCCAAGTGAAGATGATGACATGGTTTCCTGGGGAGAAGGTGCCAGGTCTAGAGCAGGGTAGGTGACAGTGGTGGGAGAGGACTCTCATTGTTGTCGGGTTTCCTTAGGATTTGTCCCCTTTTCTTACCACTGTGGGGAAAAGAATGGAAACTTGGAAATCTGAGTGAGGTGTAATCCCATCTGCCCACTTAGTTATTGCTTTATTACATGGGTCAGAAAACCCAGCTCATACTAGCTTAACCAAAGTAGGAAAGGAAGGCCTACTCAGGACACTACCACTAATTTAGATGGATGGACTTGCAGCGCAGAGAGCAAGAGCTATGAGAAGCAAGGCCTGAGGGTAGGCATAACCAGGGTGTGAAAAACTGATTCTGCTATGTAAAGAAGTTAAAGTATAATTCACTGAGTGATGAAGTTGTGTGGAAGGAAAGTTGGGCTTATGTTTTACAAGGGCATTTTACTGCTTGGTTGATTAAAGACAAGATGACAAACTCAGATCTGTGCAGGTGTTAGACATGCCTGTAGTTCAGTACTGCATAGCAGTGAGGTACTTTGCCAGGTTGAACCTTGGCATTGCTTATTAGCTCTATGACATTGGGCAATTGCTTTCTCTCTAGGTGGGATTCATCTGCGAAAGGAGAGTATCCAATGGGCGAGATGATGCATTGGGGGACACAGATTCTGGTCCTGAGGAAATAGCAGGAGTTGAGATGTAGAGATTGTAGATTTGTCAGGCTACAGATGCTAATTGAGAAGAGAGAAGGGACTCAGAAGAGCCCCAGGGAACACCAACAAGGTACGAAGGGCCATGTAATGTCAGAGAAGTCAGGTTTGGAAGGAAGGGGTAGTCAACTTAGTGAGAAGCAGCAGAGAGATCAAGTAGACTGAGGAATGAAAAGTGCCCTTTGAACTTGTTGATTAGGAAGTCACATGGAATGTTCTAGAGCCATTTCAGTGAAGAGGCGTTACAGGAAGTGTGGATTGCAGTGGGCAGAAGAGAAGGAGGTGAGGACAAATGTTGACGTGAGAAATTTGGCTGAAGTGAGGAACAGGAACAGCCAAAAAGAATTGGAAGGTAGAAGAACAGTGTTTTCTCTTTGGTTTAGTTTGCTTTTTAGGTAGAAACTTACGGTTCTTTCATCTAATTGACATGTGTTCATTGCATCATGATAGGTTTCGTAGACATTGTCATATAGGTAGATGTTTCATATATCCACTATGGCTATATCCACTCCTGAACTCTCACCTTTTCCCACCTCACACTTGCCCTTTGTTTCCCCAGTGTCATTTCTCCTTGATGTTATCATAGATATGCAGATGATTTTATTTATCTGCATAAAATCAGGATCCATCCAGGAAAGAACAGAAATATTTGTCTGTCTGCGTCTGGCTTTTTATTTCACTTACTGTGATGACCTTGAGATAGATCAGTGTTCCTCCTACAAGCAACATAATTTAGTTCTTTATCATTGAATAAACCTTCATTGTGGGGACTGGAGAGATGGCGCAGTGGTTAAGAGGACCCAGGTTCAATTCCCAGCACCCACGTGACAGCTCACAACTTTCAGTAACTCCAGTTCCTGAGAATCTGACACCCTCACACAGACATAACTGCAGGCAAAACACCAATGTACATTAAACAAATAAAAATTCCATTGTGTATACAGATCATATTTTTTTATTCATCTTTTATTGGACACCTAGGCTGATTGTCTCACTTGGCTTTTGTGAATATGGCTGCAGTGATCATAGATACACAGGTGTCTCTGGTGTGTTGACTTGGGGAACATATCCATGTCAAGCTGGGTCATATGGAAGTTATACTTTTAGATTTTGAAGACTTTCCACGCTGATTTCCATAGTGCATAAGGGTCCCCTTCTCCCAGTGTCCTTACTGGGATTTGAGATTTTCTTAACGGTAGCCTTTCTAACTGGGAGAGAGAAAACTTCTGTGTATTTTAATTCGCTTTTTTGCTTGCTTGTTCATAGTTCTAAGGGGTCATGGTGTCTGAGAAGAATTTAAGAATTAGGGGAAAAAACAGAAAAAGGATCTGATAGTGTAAAGTCCCCTAAACTGACAGGGAAACATTTGCTCTAGAAACAGATGGGACGATTCTTTATGAACAAGCGTCATTTTTCTCTTGGAGACTGAAACTTAGAAGCTAAAGTGCAGACAAATTCTGCTTCCTCTCAGAAATAGGAGGTGACAGTAAATGCATCAGGAGGGGGAGCCAGCCTTGGGAAGAAGGGACTGTTTTGAGGACAGCCCTGAAGAAGTAGCTGGGTGGTGTGTTGTGCTTTGATATGGAGCAGGCTACACAGTCTCCTTCACTAAGGCATCAGTGTAGATATTGTGGTCCTGGTTGGGGTTCTGAGGTAGGAACAGAAGAAAATAGTGGGTCAGATATTTGACAGTGATGTTTTCAGAGTTGCTTGATCATAGGGCCCAGGCTGGGTTGGGAAATGAGGGTCGGGTTGATGCTGATAGACTTGCAGACAGCAGAGGCCAAAGACCTGGCAGGCAATCTCAATGAGGTCAAAGCGCAGCAGGAAGAGGGTGGAAGGAAGCTAAAGGGGTATTGTACTATGGGATGTGGCAATTTATAATTGCAAAGATGAATTCATTCCAAGTGAAGCCAAGGACCAATGTGTAGACAGCTGCAGGTGTGTGGAATAGAGATGAAGGTTAGGAACTGAATGGCCAGGGAATTAAATGAGTCATGTAGAGCAGGTCTGCAAACATTTTCTACAGAGCTCAGGCAGTAAATGTGTAAGTTTTGCGGGCCCTCTGTTCCATAGCTGCTTGGCTTTGCTGTAGTAGTGTAAAAGTGGTCACAGACAAAATGCAAAGTGAATAGGCGTAGCTGTTCACAAATCCTCATTACAAAAAATAGGTTGACTTGGCTTATAGGTTAGAGGTGGTTTGACCTACAGCTGTGTTGTTGGTATTACCAAAAGCTTACTTTCAATGCAGGCTCTCAGGCCCCACACCAGACATGCTTTAACAAAACCCCAACGTGTGATTTATGCACCTTAAAGTTTAAGAAGCACTTTGTTAGAAGTGTACTGACAGAGAGCCAGAGAGCAGTTGCCAAAATCTGTAGAGGAGGGAGGAGAAGAGTGTTTGGCCTGGAGGAAGGAGGGCAGAGGATGGTATGGCCATCTGGCATGGGTTTAGATGGAAGGATTGAAGGGTAGAGGGTGGTGGTCTATCCTGGGAGCACTGTGGCCCACTGCCTCTCAGTGTCTGGGACGCAGGAGCAGTAGTTTCCCTCTCCTGTTTGCCCCTTCTTGGTCTTCTGGTGGAATAGGGTCTTCACTTGCTCACTCTCTCCAGGTCGGAGGAGTTTACTCTTACGATTGTAGTTTTGGCCATGTGCCCAATGTGGAATTGATGAAGTTCATTGCCATGGCAACATTTGGCTCCTACCTGTCCACTTGTCCTGACCCTGAGCCAGGCAATCTGGGTCTGACTGTCTACCACCGGGCGTTTCTGCTCTACTCCTTTCTGCGCAGTGGAGAAGCCCTGAACCCTGAATACTACTGCGGTAAGAGGCAGGCCTGTGGGTGTGGGAAGGGGTGTATATAGAATGGTCTTGGAGACAGTATGGCCTTGGCTCTGGGAGGACGGGTAGTCTAACTGGGGCTGGCCTCTCTGGGACTTTTTGTCATAGTGATTTCAGTGTAGCGCCCACCCCCATATATCCATAGCTGACAGATCACCACTGACTCCTTCCCCATCCTCATCCAGGCTCTCAGCACCGCTTGTTTAACGAGCACCTGGTCTCTGCAAGCAGCAACCCTGCCCTGGCCTTGCGAAGAAAGAAGCACACCGAGAAAGAGGTGCCGGCCGACTTGGTCAGCACTGTGTCTGTGCGCCTGCGAGAGGGCTACAGTGTCCGAGAGGTTACGCTAGCCAAAGGTAGGGGTCACTAGACCCTGCTACAGTTTCACAGATTTCTGGTCACTTACGTGTGCAGACCTGCCAGGTAGGTCATTTAAGTGTCCCCATGAGACACTCTGCTGGTCATGTCAGACAGGGGGCTCTGAGGTACTTTCAGGCCGAGTTCTCTTAGCATGGAGTTCCCAGTTCCATCTCCTGCCCAGGGTAGACGGCTGAGGGCATATGGTGTCCTGGGCTTGGTTCTCACATTCCTCCTGCAAACTTCCCTCTGCACTGGTTGGCAGGCTGCGGTTCTGAAATGGATAGAATTGTGTTTAGAACTTTGACCAGTTCCATGAGCTAAATGAGGCTTTGGCTAGAACTCAGGCTGGAGCCCTGCTTCTCTAACCCTCACTTGTCCTCCTGCCCCCTGCAGGGGGGTCCCAGCTGGAGGTGAAGCTTGTGCTGCTGTGGAAACACAATATGCGCATTGAGTATGTGGCTGTGGCACCCTGGCCCCTAGAGCCCGAGGGCCCTCGAGTGACACGGGTAGAAGTGACAATGGAAGGTGGCTATGACATTTTACATGATGTGTCCTGTGCACTAAGACAACCTATTCGCTCACTGTATCGTACTCATGTTATCCGCCGTTTTTGGAACACACTACAGAGGTAAGTTTACCGCTTAATGAGCAACACTCCACTTGTGTGGAAGGACACATTTGTGGCTCTGGGAGCTGGGAGGGACCCAGTGTACCGGGCTCCTGTTCAGGGTTCTCTGAAGCCCCCGGCAGTTTGCTGTAGCTCAGGCTTGGTCCTTGTTCTGCAGCATTAACCAGACAGATCAGATGCTCGCCCACCTCCAGTCCTTCTCCTCAGTGCCGGAGCATTTCACACTTCCAGACAGCACCAAGAGTGGCGTGCCACTATTCTACATTCCTCCTGGCTCCACAACCCCAGTGAGTAGTCCTGAAACTGTAGACCCTTCCTGCCTTCCAGGCTGGAGACCAGAACCACCACCGTTCTGGTCTTGAAAGCATCTCTCCTCTTCCTGCATCCTAAGACCCTAGGAAACTAATAGAAAAAGAGGAGCAGACCATCCTAGCAGATGGACATTCTGCAGGATGTTTGGGTGATGATATCCTAGCAAGCTGCCCTTGCCATTGCCCTTGCCCATCTCCATGTTACCTGTTTTTCAACCCTATTTACCCATTACCTGTTTTTCAACCACCACCAGCCATGAGATCTGAGTACTTCCTGAAGATCACAACTTCAGTTCTGGGCTCTCTCCACTCAGCCTACAGCTGATAGCCTGGTACAGTGAGCACATGGACCATGGGAGTGTGCAATGGCCTCATCATTAGATCTTGCCAGCTCTCAGCAGTTTTCCTCTAAAGTCAGCAATATAAGGGAGGCAGGTTCTGTCCTCCTGCTGGGTCAGATTTAAAGGGCTATACAGTCTATAACATAGCCTTCAGACTGAAAACCAGTTTTTGCCTTTGTCCCAGGCTGGTTGTGTCCTTTAACCACAATCCAATGCTGACCACCCCCTGAACTGAGTTTACCGTAACTGTTTGCTTCTCAGAGGTTGTACTCTGCTTCTCTACAAATGTTTTCCAAGGGCTGGCCTTTCTGTCCCCAGGTGCTTTCCCTTCAGCATAGCGGTTCCGACTCATCCCATGCCCAGTTTGCTGCCTACTGGAAGCCAGTGCTTTCCATGGATGCTAATTCATGGCAGAGATGGCTACACATGCATCGCCTGGTGCTAATCCTGGAGCATGACACGTGGGTACCCTCAAGCCCAGGCCATGACTCTGATGGAGGAACAAGATGGGGCTGATGGGAAGAGTGCCAACTGTGGCCAAGCCTTCCCACTCATCAGCTTCCATGACCTCAGGGTCTCGAAGAGATTGGCAGGTGTGAGCTCACTCTCCCACCCTGTCCCTAGGCCACTCCCTAAGCACTTGCACACCCCGGGCAGCAATGGGCGCTATAGCACCATCCAGTGCAGAATCTCCCACTCCTCACTCACCTCTCTGCTTCGAGACTGGAGCAGCTTTGTGCTGGTCGAGGGCTATTCCTACGTCAAGCTGCTCTCCAGGTGGGCTAAGTGGTATGTCCTCACCCTTCTCCACACCTCATCTACTGCAGCTCAGGACTGCTCACTTGCTCCATTTCTCCCCAGCGGCCCAGACCAGCCCCCGTCCTCCTTCTACATGGTCCGCATCGTTTCCAAGACCCCATGCATGGTTCTCCGTCTGGGGTTTCCAATTGGCACACCAGCCCAAGCCCGGCATAAGGTAATCTAGACTCTGACTGCCCTGACTGACTATCTGACTGAGTTATGGGGGCGTCTATGAACTGATTCCTCAGCCTTCCTGGCTCAGTAAGGAGGGGCACCCTGAGACCAAGTAAGGCTTGAGGAACATGAAACGGAAGGTTCTCTCCTTGACTGTGAATCCCTTCCCCCAGACCTGGAGGGGTTGGGAGGAAGGGAATCTGACTACATTTTCCCCACAGATTGTGTCAGGCCTGCAGGAAGAGATCCTGCGCCTTCGTTTCCCTCACCGGGTGCAAAGTAAGGAGCCGACACCCAAGGTGAAACGAAAAGGGCTGGGGGGCATTGGTGGGGGAAACTCTCCCTCCAAGTCACCCCCTACACTGGGGCCACAGCAGGCCCTGTCTGACCGGCCCTGCCTTGTGGTCCTCCATAAACCACTGGACAAGCTCCTCATCAGGTCAGTATAGAGGGTAGGGAGGAGGCCTGGAGCACAGAGAAGCTGTGAGCAGAAACCAACTGGGAAGCTGCCCTGTCTCCCAGGTATGAGAAGCTACCCCTGGACTACAGGGCTCCCTTCTTGCTGACACTGGAACCACCAGGCCCATTGCCCCTGGTGTCAGGCCGCTCAGCCTCATCTAGCCTCGCATCGCTGTCACGCTACCTCTACCATCGTCGCTGGCTGTGGAGTGTCCCATCAGGCCTGGCCCCCACCCTGCCACTCAGCGCCATCGCCCAGCTCCTCTCTGTTCTCACTGAGTATGTCTCCAACCCAGCAGGGTGTCGAGGGCAGGAGAGAACAAGTGTAGGCTCTGGGTTGGGACAGTGGTCTAAGCCAGACCCTTCCCATCTGCAAGCACCATTGTGAATACAGAGTTCACGCTGTTGCCTTCCTACTCTGTACTCCCCCAGCTCTGCTAAGTTTGGCCTCCGGTCCTACTTAGACCTGTACACTTTAGGGAACTGCTAATCTGCCCGGGCTTCCAGTGGACTAGGTCGCATGACAGCTCCTGGGAGGTGGGCAGTTGGGAGCACTAAACTAATCTCTTTCCTCATCTTTCTGGTTCTGCCCTGCCTTTTGGGGGCTTCAGGGTCCGGCTCTCTGAAGGATTCCACTTTGCCTGTAGTGGGGAAGGAATCATCAACATGGTTTTGGAGCTTCCAGTTCAGGTATGTGCCTGCCATTGGGAACTAACCTCAAGGACATTCAGAACCTTGGGACACTTGCCTCTCCACCGGCTGGTGACTGCTAGAAACTGGCTCACCAGATCAAGGGACCAAGGCCTCAGACCACAGTCAGCGGGAAGCAAGGCAGACCTCTTCATGGACAGGGTTTTGCCCAGGATCTCCCATTTATCCACAGAATGAACCACTGGGGCAGGCTGCAGCTGAAGAGAAGCACACGTGTGTTGTCCAGTACATCCTCTTCCCCCCACACTCCACCTCCACTAAAGACAGGTGAGACTCAGACCTCTGGGAACCACCTCTGCATAGTCCCCTCCCCCAGGTCACCTTACTGTCTGGCCACCATACTCTAATATGACCTCTATCCTAAACCAGAGCAGAGAGCTGCTGCTTTAGCTGGTCTGTGCTGAGTAGACGCTTGTCTGCACAGGCCATGCGGCTATCCTCGGGCCTGCCTTCTCATCCCTCCTGCCCCCGGCTGTCGCTGGACTTCTTCCAGGCTTAGAACCCCTTCTCTTCCAGCTTCTCAACAGATGATGACAATGATGTGGAGGTGGAGGCCCTAGAGGGGGACTCAGAGCTCAATCTGGTCACCGAGGTGTGGGTGGAGCCTCAGTATGGACGAGTGGGACCTGGCCCCGAAAGCTGGAAACACCTGCAGGACTTGACCTACTCTGAGATCCCTCAAGCGGTGAGTGACCCCAGAACTGTCCCCTGCCTCCTACCAGGTTATGCCTTGCTTGGAGTCTGCAGCCTGTGCACTTCCTTGGGACCAGAGGTGGGAGCTGGGACGGGACGAGTCCTGTCATCTGGTGTCTCTCCCCTAGCTCCACCCCCGGGATGCTGCCTGCATAGGCTCCCTGCTGACCTTCGAATACCTGATACAGCTGTGCCAGAGCAAGGAGTGGGGTCCTGTGCCCCCAGAGCCTCGGGTCTCAGATGGTCAGTGCAGAGGGTGCAGCGGGGTAGTAAGATGGAGGAAGACAGCCACAGATAGGGGATCTGGCTCTCACTGTGTCCTGTTCCTTCCTAGGACTGGCCCAAGGAGGAGACACCTGTGTGCATGAGATCCCTTTCCGTTTTGACCTGCTAGGATTGTTGCCTCAGTGCCAGCAGCTGCAGATGTTCTTCCTTCTGCTCTCCAGAGGTGGGTACTCTTGGGAGCTACTCACCCTCACCTCAGGGGTCAATGGTGAGCAAGTGAGAGGGCGGCTGAGGCTGAGGCTGCAGGAAGGGCTTTGCTGGTCAGGGTGGAGCCGGGGACACTGGCAGCATTGCTGAGCAGAGTGTGTGTCGGGCAGAGCCGGAGGGTGTGCCTCTCGCCGAGGTGCCCTGTCCCACCAACGACATGGTGCTGTGCCTGCTGCACAGCTGCCTGGGGCAGGAGCTGAGTGACCGGGAGATCCCACTGACCCCTGCTGACCAGGCTGCCTTCTTGAGTGAGGTCCTGCGGCGGAGCTGCCGTGATCCAGGTGAGCTCGCTTTCCTAATACCACACTTCCCTGCCTTTCCCTCCCCCAGAGTGCTTTCCATCTTTGAGCTCCTTCCCCACCCTTCACCTCAGAGCCCTGCCTCTGTACTGGTCCTGCCCTTTCCCACCATCTCTACCCCATTGTAGGTCCGGAAGGTCCTCTAGTGGGGGGCCACACGGTCCCAAAGGATCAAGCAGGCAACAGCACCCAGGCCACTGGAGACCTCACCTTTCCTACCCTGGTGAGCTCTACTGTCTCTCCCTGAGCGCTTACCATGCTTACACCCCTCCATCACCACACACCTCTGCCCAGTTCCTGTCACCTTTGACAGTGCTGTCATTCCCCTTTGGTCTGGACCTGTCACACTAAACCTGAGGAACTGGGTCAGGGTGGCAGAGGGGAATGGAACTTGGAATAGTCCCTTGTAAACTGCTCTTATTTTCTATTTGCCGCTTACAGAGTGTAGGCATTCCTGGAATTCTCAGACCTTCCACTTCTGCCCAGCCCCCTCAGTGGCACTGCTATGCAAGGCTTCTGAGCCCCCAGCATGTGTTTCTGACGT